ACTCAGCACCTTGTTTAGTAATGAAATTATTTTGAGAACTGGAATCCAGCAAGGCTCTCAGCGAAATAAATTTTCTATCATCTCCTTTAATGAAAATAATTGCAGTTGAAAGTAGAACTTGTTTATTAAAAGAACTGGAAATATTCAGCGCAGTACCGTTAATGGACTTTGCGTGGTTGGTTTCATTAGTGTCACTAACCTTTTGGCTGCTTGCCATTGGAGTAAATGTATCAGCATTTGGAGAAAGATTACTGCTAAATTTATTAGTCTTGTTTGTGATTTGATTCGATGTGCCATTTGCTCTATCGAAATTTTCTTCATTTCGATCAAAATGTAAGAGCGAATTGTGAAATTTCTGACATTTTCTGCATGTATTAGAACTTTTACAGTCCTTGATTGTGTGGACCGAAGATAAACAATTGAAACACAGTTTTTTTTTTTTTTTTTTTTTTTTTTTTTTTTTTTTTTTTTCTTTACAAATTCAAATCGTTTCTTGACTGTTAGATTTAAGAATTGCGCACATTTCAACAATAAATGATCACCTTTACAATGAGGACAATTTTTTGAATTTTCCAAAAGTGATGTAAGAGCTTTGGTATTAAATGAATGTTTTGATTCCCCATGCGGAGGTTTGTAATGTGATAGGGTGCAAGCGTGTTTCTTCAAAAAACATGTAAGTTGTTTAACTGTTCTTATCTCGTCTTTTTTAAGTGACCTTTTCCACCAACACCGAGTATTTCTATTCAACTTTTCAACTAATAAATAAAAACAATTAATGTGTCTGAAAATTCTTCCACCTTTTGCTCCAATGCTTCCAAGAATCGTAAACATTCATGCACCGTATCGATAAATTTTAAAAGCGAGGAAGTAGAATCACATGTTTGAGGTATAGAAATTAATTTTTTTATGATAGAATTCATCAAATCTTTTTTGTTGCAATAGCGCTCAACCAACAGATTCCATGCTATGTCATAATTTGAATCTGGAATTGGAATGGACTGAATAATATTTAAAGTGTCTGCCTTACACGAACTCTTAAAATATTGCAATTTTTGTGCATTAGTTAATTTGCTATTTTTATGCACAGCTGCGGAAAATAAATCCTCAAATTCAATCCATTCTTCGATTTTCCCACTAAATATTGGAAGAGACAATTTAGGCAATTTTATATCCGAAACAATTATGTCTTTACTCGAACCGTTTTCATTTGAACAACTATTCCTTTGAGAACTGATCTCAGAAATTTTTCTTTTAATTTTCAAATGAATTTCATCGAGATTATCTATTACATTTTCCTTTTCCTTAATGAATTCGTCAGTGTCCTTTTCCTCACAATGTGCAAATAAAGAATCAAAAATGTTACTTAATTCCTTTTTAAATTCTAATATTTTTGATTCGTGTAACTCCAATAAGGAAATATCTGCTTCATCCACTGTAGAATTTACCTTATTTTCAAACTTTCTGATACTGCATTTTAAACTCTTTTTGTTAGCTTTAATCACTTTCAGTTCACTCATCATGAACAAATAAATAATTTATCACTTACCGTGATTGCAGATTTCTCAACAGCAGCACCAGAAATGAACGATGACACAGTATCCAATCTTAATTGCGTAATCCACACGAAAACGAAAGCATTGCAAACACTATATGAAGTTATGCGTAATACAACCAAATGAAAGTATTCCAAATGTTCTAAAATGTTAATTTTAGCAACGATATCTTTTACCTGTGGCTCGGCGGGCCATAAAGTGTTCATGTGATGCGTGCATTGTTATATAACAATTTCAAAATTAACTAGAAGTGGACTGTACTAAATATTTTATTCGACAACTTTAATCAAATGTGTGCCATCTTTCAAGCGATGACTTACTACTCACAACAACAGCAAAAAAAATAAATAAATAAATAAAACTGAGTAAGCATTTACAGGGTTGCTGTAATGAACAACTGTGCCATGCAAGGTGCCAAGAAGTGAAAAAATGACGTAATCTTACAGTTAAATAGTCCTAATTACTTAACAATTCCTAATACTGTTTAAGAATCAGTGTCATAAATTACATGCATTTTAAACTGTGAAATGTTATTAGATTGTAATTTTAATAGTGATTTTTTAACAAATGTATTAAAAAATAAATGAAATTTAATAATTGTCATGTAAATCTATAACGACTAATGGTATTTAACTACCTAATTTAATTATTTGTAACTAACTGCTCACCTTTAAAAGTTATCTCTTCATATTAAAGCAAGTTATTGCCTTTCATTAATCCTTACCATGGTCACAAGATAAAACACAAAAATTTAAAAAATCATGTAAAACATATTCTTTGCATCTAGTGAGACTTAAAATAATGCTGGGTTACAGTCCCAGAAATTCTACATGAAGCTACAATACTAACTGCTTCAGACAGACAGAGCACAACTAACTTTCAAAACTTGTCAACCATGCCTACATCAGGCTTTCAGGTTTGTTCTGATCAACAGGTCTCTCTCTCGTCAAGCAGCAGCACTGCAATAGCCAGTCTTCTGTTACGAATCATGCTGATTATGATTTTATTTCTCATTTTAACCTATGCCATTTGACATAAAATCCACCTCTATTTACTAAACTTCTATGCTAAGAACGTGGCAAAATGAGACATAAAAGAAAAAATCAACATAAGGCTAACTGTTAGTAAAACCTAAATAAAATGTCACTTATCATCTTTCAAATATTTCCAACTATTGTACATGTAAAATATTTAATGCTACTTGTTAAATTTTATAAAGTGGATTTTATTCTCGAATTTGTTTTATAATTATGTTTATTAAATTATGTTTATTAAGAAAGGATCTATTTTATTCTTAGAGTGTTATTACAAAAGTGAAGTTCAAACATAAGTTGATTGAATTTAAGTGAATTTATTTAGCTCCCATTTGCTGATAGGTCCTTAATTTTTTTCATTAGTGGTCCTTAAAACTACTTAATTTGCATGTACAGAAATGTGCACGAACTTTGTCTGCAAGTTTCACTCTGCTATTACCACTCTATGGGCCAGCACCATTTTGAAACCATTGGTTATTCATGATTAGAATTATTTTCTCCTCTCTCCCCCATTCCTAAATTATGTTTTAAAAAAGAGTCGGATCTTTTAAGTGTGCGAGTCCTTCCAACTGAAAGTTCCTGTGCTTGGCCAAAAAGTTTTATTTACAGAATTCAACTAAGTGTGTTCATCTGCAAGTTCAGAAGTTCTAATGTCCAATGAAATGATGTGGCGTGACTACTTAAATTCATAGCTGATTCGGATAGGAAATTTTGTTGGCCTTTCCAGTATGTGGAAAAAAAAAAAAAAAAAAAAAAAAGAAAGTGTTCTTTAAATTATAAAAGGGATTTAATGTTTAAGAGATTCAGCATTGCAGTGTAACGTAAGTTTCCACCCCCCAGTGGCGGGCACTTGCCTATAATGGCATTGGCCACTATTAAGGTCAGAAGTGGTGGCCATTTTATGTCGAAGCACCTAATAAGTGGCCACCGTTGCCTCCTATGAATTGACAGACAATTTTACATCCATGCCTTCTCCGGGATTCGAACCCAGGCCCTTTGGTATTGCAGCCAGGCTTCCCTAACCACTGTACCATCTGGGTGGCTATGTAAGATTGTATGATGTGGATTAATTTCAAATGTTACCATTTAGATTGATATCTTATAAACAGTTTCTATTTTTAGGACAAAAAGGGGAAATACCCTAATTAAAATGATTCATTGATGTAAAAGGGGCTATTGCCAGTTACAGTCATAAGTTAGATTTTATATTTTTTATCTTACTCATATATATGTGCTTGTATGAAATGCTGGTTTGCTAGTTTTTCCCACATTGCAGCAGATAATAAATGTAAATTAGAAATATATTTTGTAGGAAACGTGAAAATTCAAAATGTCATTTCTTAAATCTCCAAATAGTTGATTCTAAGAATGAAAATATAAAATAATAAACAAGTAGTTTCATGTAGAATCATAATTAGCATATATTAACTCTGTGATGAATTTCAGCCTTTTATAGTATTTATTTATTGTGGTTATCAACATATCTTTTCAGTCAGTATTTCCTTGCAACATTTCATGCAGTAAGGTGTATGTTCCTTTCACTCATATGAACTAATTTAGGAATTCGGAAAGTTTCACTCAGTTCTGATACATAGTGTTAAAAAATTATTAGTTAAAGCAATGTAAATAAGCAGTTAAAAATATGTAAATGGCGTAAAAATATTTGTGACTTCCCAAAATTTCAAATTGCTGTCAAATTTTGTCGGAAAGTTTGTCTCTGAAAAAAGTTTGTCTAAAAAAGTTTATATTTAATAACTTTTTTGGATTATATTTTGGATTTAGCAGCTAATTTTAATCAAATCATTCATTTCAATTGTATAGAATTAATTATATGCTCCCCTGAACTATGTGAATTTGAACAGTAGGAATACTTCTTCTTGATAGCTGTAAAATAGCTTAATTTTTTCATGTATTTATGTCTTTTTATAAATTTAACCGTTTGAGTCCCAAGCAGTGCAGTCGCTTGTTGAGATTTTATGTCGAGAAAACCCAGTGCATTTCAAACATTGTAAACAAAATGAAAAACATTTATGCAAGAATACGTCCGATCGCTTTGCAAACTGCAATAAATGTGATGGAGCAATGAGAAAAAGGATGAGAATTGCATTACCTAACAAATATAAGAAGCGCTGTTGCTCCGATTGAGATTCATTGATGTAAAATAAACAAAGCGTTATCGTGCTGCTTGGTTTTTCTTGACATAAAAAAAAAAGCGCTTGGGTCTTTTCATACTCATTTTGAGAAAGCACAGTTGCACTGTTTGGGAATCTTCAACTGTGTTTTTTTAATGCCCCCCTGTTACTCAAACGATTAAGGAAACATATTTTTATATGTTAATGTTATAAAACTCATTTGATATTAAATTCATTGTTTTGATGCAAAATAATTCTTATGTAAGTCTTTCTTTCCTCAGATTTTTATTGAAATGTTTCTGTTTGGTAACATCAATGGGAAAAGGTTGCTACCTAGGCTCTAACTGTGGCACAAACAGAAGACATCAAGAACTTCACAAATTTTGTACTACATTGAGCCTTTATTCATCCACATATGAAGTGCAGAGGGAAGAAGGAAATATGTGTGGGCTGAATTACTGTTAGTTAAAAAGGAAACCATATTTAGGAGCTTTCTTAAAACATTTTGCACTTTATCATTCCATTATAGGTTTATAGTTGTACAGTATCATCTTTTGAACTGAAAAAGAAAAAAGAAAAGGAAAAAAATTCAGATTTGAATTATTGAATCTGATCCATGGTTGGAATATGAGACTTTTACATAATTTTTGTAATTTCAAAATGTGATACTACTTCTTATTGGTTCCAACTATGGTCGTTTTCAAATAATACTTTGTGTGTGCCTAATTTCAGAATGCCAGTTTTAAGGTTTTCTTTAAGTAATTCTTCTAGAATTAGTGATTCTATCATTATATATATATATATATATACATACATGCATATATATTGCAATTATAATTTTGGGATTTAAAGTTACTTAGATTCTTTTTCTTTCGATATTAGTTGTTTGAATGGTTATGTATAGGGGTTAAAAGACTCATAGTTATTTCTATTAACTGTATATATGTAAATGGTTTTAAAAGAGTATAAAACAGAGTTTATATCCATTTATTTACAATTTACATTTTATGCAGACACCTTATGTAACAGTACTATTTAAAAATCATTTTTATATTGAACTAGTTTTGCATTTTTTCCATTTGCAGCTCTTAGTAATTTCTTTCTTGAAGCAACCTTCATCCTGAAATTATTAAATGTAAATCTAAAACTAGTTCTGTATGTTTCACATGAAAATTATGTTAATGCATAACATGATAATTCTATTGAAGATTACATGACATCACAAATATGTTATCTGCATGTAAAATTAGGGACAAAAACTTAATTCATTATACTGCATGTTTGCTTATTTGGAGGGGTAGATATTTAAGTGAAGCTGTTATTTGTAAATTAAATATTATTTTTTTGTCTAATGTATTTTATGGTAGAATTTTAAATTACTCTTATTAATTAACAATGAAAATCAATGTATTTCTTAATCAAATCCTAAAAAGAAGAATCATTTACAAATTGAAGAATTATAAAAAATTAAGAAATGTTATTTACTCATTTTGATTTCTGTTTTATTCAGTCATGTTGTAATTATAAAATTTTCATTTCTTAAAATGTGTGTTTGTAACACGGTTATTTCTGTTGATTCTATTTTTGTGGAATTGGTACTAATGCATTGACATTTAACGGCACAAGCATAAACTGAATTACATGCATAGTTTTTGTTTGAAGTGCTGAGTTAAATTTCAAGCATATATTCTTGTGCATTTTAAATTTCACTTTTATGTTCAAAGAATTAATCATACATTGTCTATTCAGATGCAAGTAATATGTGAAGCATTAAAAAAAATGAGGTATGATGTTGCACACTCTGTTGTGCAGTGATCGCATGCTGTCAGTATTTTTCTTAGTATTAAATTTAATGAATTTGTAAGTAAATGTAGTATTTTCTTTTTTCCAAAATAAAAAATATATTAATTTTGCTGCATATACATGTTGCATTAATTATGTTTTTCTTCTTTTTCACGTATAATTTATATTAGCAAAGATTAATATATTTCTTAAAAGTGGTTGATTTTATTTCTGTGATTTAAATTTGCATGTAAGTGTTCAGCGTATGAGACATATCAAGCTTTCTGATGCATCAAATTGTCATTTATAAAGAATGCGTCATTAGCTCGAGAATTCTCATGCAGTATTTCTGCCCCAAACTTTTTCCCGTCCTTCCTTTTGTTCCAGTGTGCCATTAACCCCTTCGAGCCAGGTAGCGAAAACGCGCGCTTATCGCGGAGGCCAGCAGTGTCTTACGCGAGCGTCTCTCCAGGGCCGGGGGCTTTTTTGCTACTAAGCCTAAATCCATGAAATTTCCAAAGTATCAACGCATTGTTTAATAATGCTCTATAGAGTATTTAAATGGCTTATGCTTTATAAATATTTTATATATACTTTAATTACCACCTTATTTCTTGTTTAAATGCATATTTTACACATTTTATTTTAATTACTCACCATTTTATGAATTTTAACATTATACATCTGAAAACTAAATATATTACTTAAAATTCTCTTTTCGTATGAAAAATTTGAAAACGGGGATCTACACACAGTCGTACGTTACATTCCTTGCACTCGTAATAACTCATTTGCCGTTTTGGAGGATTTTTCCGGGAATGTGAGCAAACGAAGCATCGTCGTCTCATTTTCTTATCAGTCTCTTCTGAACAAAGTTTTGGAAAACGTCTTTCAGTTAATCTTTCAGAATCAATATCTAAAATATTTTGCATCATTTCTGCTATTTCATGCTCTGTTAAACATTTTCGACGCTTCGACATTGCAACGGTAAAAACAGAAAGAATTCACGTCTAACAAGATCTAATTATTTTCTAAAAACTGAACTGTAAACCGAAATACTCAACGCTTTAGCTCATATAAATCTTCTACTTACAATAAACAACTACCACGTGCGAATAAAGTGCGATTTAAAGAGACGTCATAAATCACACCATTCGGAAACATTTAGTTCCCCGTTTGTTTATATAATCAAAAACACGTGTATGTGAGTCATGCTTCTCTCATTTCGAGTAGAAGGTCTAATGTACATGTATCTGAAACCATATGGACATACAGTGCCATCTTGTGGCAGAAATTATAGTTTGAAAAACGTTCAAGGTTACTGGCACAAATACGTGTCAGTCGGTAGTAAACGGAAAAATGCTCTGGCACACCTGTGTGTCGGCCGGTAAATAAGTGTGTTCGTTGTTGGCATGTATACGTGACAGTCGGCACGAAGGGGTTAAGAAAGTTCTATTTTAATTGTTTGAAAGTACTATCAAAACATTTTGTTGTGAAGTTTGAGATAGTGTTACAACTTCTGAAGATTTAGAACAACGTAAAGACATTCTTTGAGAAGTTCTTTATATTCTAAAAAGCCACTTGAATGAAAAGTGCCATTCACTTTGCAACAGTTATTTATCATTGCCTTTCTTATCATGTAAAGGATGTATTTTTTCACTTATTGAATCAAGCACATTAATATTATTTCTGTTTTCCCTGTCTGAGTGTCTAAAATTTCCTAAAAAGGATTAGAACTGAATTAAAAATTTAAGATAAGATAGCAATATAAATGCATTTTTAATTATAATTTTTCCATAAAATTTTGCAGAATATTATATATAAATTTCACAGTAGATGATATTATGTATATAGTGTATACACACACTATATATTTTAAACTTTTATAAAACCTTTTGCAAATACGTGTTTTGATAGTTAACTGAATTTTGTTACATTGGTATGCATAATTTGTTAAAAGTATTTTCCTGTGAATCTCGTAATATCTGTATATTCGTAAGGATGATAAGAGGAAATGAAATTCAATGTGTAGGCCATCGATTTCATTATTTTTAGAAACCTGAGGAAACAAAATTGTAAGTTGTTATGGAATTTAGTTAACTGTTCTATATTTTTTGGTTGAATTTACAAGTAAGTGGTGTTTTAAAAACTTTAAAAAATAGGAAGCTCGAATAGTGCTTAAAAAAATTATGGAAAATTGGGTTTTGTTTCTGTATTCTTTTGAGGGATTGAAACTTTGAGTTGAAAAATTTCAAGTTAATAACAGCTGTTCTTCATTGATGGAATGGATTATAATTGTACAAATTCTTAGATTTAATTGATTTCCTCAATCAACTGTCAGTTTTTTTAAGCTTGTGGTATAAAACTATTATCATCTACTTTAGCTTTTAAAACAATTAATACTTAAGCTTCACCTGAGGTGCTACAAAATCTAGAAATTTCATTTTACTTTATTTAGTGACTTATTTTTCCCTGGCCTTAGTGCAAGTTTCTGAAGTTTTTTAAGTATTCTTGTAATTTTCTCCTTCCTCAAGACATTCAGAAAGCCAGCTTCTCTAAATTTTAAAACAGATTCATCTACATAGTGATTGTTTTAATCACTCTAATTGATTTGTGTGTGGAATTTGTCCATTTTTCTAATTTATTTGTGTGTGGAATCAGCTCTGATTGATGAAGTAATGATAGTGAAAAGCTTAAGTAAAAGGAGATATCTAATGTTCTCGATATTTCTGAAGATCAGTACACATAGCCTGAGCGATGTCAAAGATGATGATAACAGGTGAAAAATTGCAAGCTGTGTAAACAACATCAATTCCAGCAGCATTCATTGGTTTGAGACCTAGGGATTAAGAATGAATATTAAAAGAGAGCAAAATTCAATATACAGGAAGTAAAAATGAAAAAAAAAAGTTACTAGATAATGTATTTTTATTTATTCTTATTGGAATGTAGTTTTTTTTTTTTTTAAAGTGTTTTTTATTAATAAATGTGGTAGTTACGGGTGGTTTATTCATGAATACATTCATTTGTTTTGTTCTTACTTTAACAACGCCATTGAGAAATTAAATTATTCACATAGTTTTCCCTTCTCAGTCTTCACTCAAATTAGTAAAAAATGAGGGGAATATGTGAGTTAGCACAGTAATTATTAATTAAACTGAAATTATATTTTGCGTAATGACATTTTTTATGATGTTGATTATATGTTTTTTACATACCTTTATTATTTGCAGTGAAATAGGATATTTAATATTGAGGAATCTTAGTCATTTCTGTGAATAAATTATTGTATATTTAAAAAAAATGTTTACATGAAAGTATAATTAAGGATTCAAAGGGCCTGACTGTTGTTTATGCAAGCTATTTTGTCATACGATTTAAATCTTAGTAAAAGCGTTCCCATTTTTAAGTTTTAATTAATCAGTTGTATTCAAATGTTGCTTTTTTAACTGCTGATCTACATAAAAGTGAGAAAGCCAAGCATATGAGAATTGCTGAAAACACAGTTTCATGTTAACACTATATATTTTGCATATGCAGTGTATATTATATTCATTAAGAAATGTTTTTATTCTTTTGTAAGACTTCTAACTGGAGTGACAACTTGCAATGCCTGATAATTCTAATGTTAATTAATGTAGATTATATGGATGATTTTATGCTTAATTGTTTATATGTTTATATATACGAGGGCTATCCAGAAAGTAGATTACGTTTTGGAATAAAAAAATAAAGTATAGGAACAAATTTTATTAGATACAGATGAAGCCACACTCAATACTACTTTTTCTACATAGTCACCATACAATTAAGGCATTTATCGTAGCGATGTACGAGTTGGAATTCCTTCGTCGAAAAATTCGGCCGCCTGCGCCTTCAAACCACTTCGTTACCTCTTTCTTGCCTTCCATCTTGCACAAAACTTGTGGTAACCAAGCTTTTCGCTGATGATTTCGTGCAACAAACTTCGCGAAATTTGTGGAAAACTCAAAGTTCCGTTATTGTGAAATTTCGATTTTCACGGACTTTAGCATCGACTTTTTCGAGAAGTTCGGCGGTTACTATGCTGGGTCTCCCACTTTGATCTTCGTCGTGAACATTGGTTCGGCCATTTTGAAATCTTATGACCCACTGACTCACTCCACCTTCAGTGATAATGTTGTCCCCATACACTTCACGAAGCTGCCGATAGATTTCTATCGGTTTACAGTTTTTTGCAGTCAGAAACCTTATTACTGAGCGCACCTCGCGGGATTTTCAATTAACGCAGACATTTCAAACCGTCACAGTATCTGAACGGAGCACAGCACGAACCTCTCACTAGCACGGCTAGATGCAGACTGAGCTGCGCAACGCTCTGACCCCAAGATGGCCGCGCTAGCCCCGCCCCTAGCGGACACAGACGGAAACGTAATCTACTTCCTGGATGGCCCTCGTAGTACAAAGTTCAAGATCTGGAATTATCAGAACGTCAGTGATTCCAAATTTAGAAAATTTCTGGATTTTAGATTATCGATTTCTATATTCAGATGACATGCAGATATTTATAAAATTAAAAGTATGAAATAGTTGTTCATATTATAATAAAGCATATATGACTCTAAAGGAATCAAAATTTATGTGTACAAAAGCTCAGTATTTATGTATTAAATATTTCTTTCAATGCAACCTTTTTCTTTATATTATAATAAAACATTTTTGACTTTAAAGGAATCAAAATTTACTCACACAAAAAAAGGGGCTGGGTATTTCTTTCAATTTCTTTTTTGGGGTGTGTGCTAATACTTTCTCCAGTTAGCCCACCAGCGGCCAAGCGGTAAAGTCGCTGAGCACTGGTAGTTTGGTCCGATGTTCAAATCCTGCAAATGGGCTAGAATTTTCCCTGTGTGTAACATGTAAATGAGCCAGTTTCCCTTAGAAAGTCCTCCACGAAGTCATTCCTTCCCTTCCCTTAGGCAGAGATAGCCCTCAAGGCTTTGCCATAATCACACACACACAGTTTCTCCAGTTATATAGTTAGACATGATTTCTTGTTCAGTTACAAAGTTCCATTGCTCAAGCCCTTTTATTGCAAAACTGAGAATTCCCATTAAACTGGAAATCTTTTCATTTTGAACAGCTGCTTAGCGATATTTTCT